GATAAGTATCTATTGACCTTAAAATAAAATACTCATGTTATAAAATTATAGTACCTAAGGGGAAAGGACTCATTACATTTTATGAGCTTTTGTCGCATCATGTTTTAAAACTATTCCAACAATTTTCTTACTTTTCATGCACTCGGTACTCTTTATCACCTATTGTAGTGCAGAATTTTTTAAACTATGCAAGGCATACTACAATTTTAGAAAGCTTAAAGATGCAATTTTAAAATTAATAGGGGTGTGATGCACCCCAGGACCCATATTGATCCGCCCCTTGAGGTTGGATGTGCACATGTTAGCTTTGACCCAACCCAATTATCATTAACCTGAACACAACTACTAATCAATGGGTCAAGATGGCGGACCGATTACTTCATCCACTCAAATTTGGGCTATCCACAAAGAAAACCCACCTATTCTGTTCATTAGCAACCCAATGTATCTAAAAAACTCAAGTAATTCTTTCCACCAGCTAACCAGGAGCAACGACACTCTTGTGGTGATAACTATACTTATTTAAAATCTATATACATTATATAAAAGAATAAATAAAATAAAATTTGGATACAAATCACATGACCTGCAAACCACCAAATAAATAACCATCTGAGCTAATATAAGACAAACATGAAGTCTCATCTATTGTACCGGAACTCTGAGGATGTGATGAGTGTTGAAATTTATAATCTTATACTCTAACATTTCCTAATAGGTTGAACGCCTTTTTCATAGGCTTAAACTTGAACTCTTATAAAATATTTTACTAAATCGCATTAAATGTATAGCCTGTGAGATTACAACCTAGTTTGCTCTGATATTAAGTTAAAGTCTCCCCCACAAAGCCGAAACTCCAAAGTTGTGATGAGGATAATTCTTAACAGACATAATTCAGAGCAAAAATAATTGCATACCAAGAATTAATGTAATTCTACATGGTTATATGTAAATATGGTCATAGGAAAGTTTAATCACAATAACTTTTCCTTTAATATAGTCATCACAATAATAAAAAGAAAAGAAAGAGGGTGCATTCACATACCTGCAACATTTTGAACCCATGCAACCGAATCTCAGAGGAACAATTCTTGCGAACCAGATGAAGAGATGTGTTTGCTAAAACACGAATATCTCCATTTTTTATCTGCAGACAACATATAAATAAAGGTAAAGAATGAGAGAGTGATGAAGGAAAGCAATGTGGATAAATCCAAATACAAGGTGCTTGCTCATTTCTTTTCTCCTCTATTTCATGCACACACTAACACATACATCTCCAGACTGTTTGCTAAAACTAGTGTACAAACAAAAAAAAATGTACATCTAGATGCATATAGATGGACATCGCAAAAGCTTAAGCAGGTAATAAATAAAAAAACCATCCAAGACAAAACATGTTAGTTTCATGAAATTGACTAAACTTCTTTAAACATAAATCCTGCAAAAAAAAATCCAAAGCTCCAATGCAAGCCGATGATAACACAGTAGGTTCATGATATGATTAATCGAGAGGCACTATTCATGTGTTCAGCATTGATACATAAAACTGAATTTTCAAGGTAATATCCTAGAGATAACTCACAAGATCAACTTTATATAGATTTTTTCCTCAGTTTATTACAACACTCCATGTACATATCTAAGCCTTGCAGCAAAAATCTATTTAATACATCAAAATTATTTTCTCCCAAAATTAAGTTTACTTTGTAAAGCAAAGAAAATCAATATTTTGCATCTAGTATACATTTGTCTTGTGTGGATGACATGAAACATCCCACCTTCTAAGGAGTAAGGTCTCATACTTTTGGTCAATCCAGTTTTCTTTTAAAAAACAATTATCGTAACATTATAGCAAATGATGCATTAATGCGCTCATCTCAAATCAATATAAATTTTTTCTTTAGAAAGTAGAGAAAATTTGACAATATGCTTTCAAGACGCGAGGAAAACAAAAGCGGCCCACATAAAAATGGGTATAACCAGAAAATAAAGAATGGAATATTGACAAGAAAAGAAAATCAGCAGACTGATTTGGCGGAAAGGAATGTGAGATGAACTTTTAGGATTTTTAAATCTCTACAAG